AGTGATTTATTTTGAGCAGTTATTAAAGGAAAGAAGAATAAATATCGGACCTGGGAAATATGAAGGTTTTTTTCTCTCTTCTACTCTCTCTGCTGCAAAAGATTAAGATGGCGTTAGCTTCTCTTCCAGTTTTAAAGAAGTTGGATTAACCAAACTTAAGGTGGACCAGAATTTTGAAATAAGATTTGTACAACTAACTGCAATTTTGGAACTGGATATTAAGGAAGAACAAAAGACTAAGATGGCTCCCATTGCTTTTTTTCCACAGCAGTTGAAGTAGATAAATCTAAGGTGGACTAGAACATTGAAACAAGGATTGTATAACCAACTATAACTTTGAAACTGGACATCATGGAAACTTAGGAATTAGAAGAACTATGTGAAATTACAAAAATATGCATAAAACAGTAAAATCATTAAAATCAAGCCAAAACAGAATTTTGAACACAGAGAAGCAGAGATCTAAAGAAGAATTCAAAGAAGAAGAAGAAGGGGGACAAAGTGAAGGGGGAGAAATGGGGGAAAATAAAAAGCAGACAAAAAATTCCATCAGTCTTGGAATTGTTATAGGGAAAACTGCAAAGAGGAGGTGTCCCAACAAAAGGGGGGGGGGGAAGCAGGCAAAAGTGATTTTGAAGGTTGTTAGTGGCATAAGGAAAATTGAAACAGAAAGCTATGTCCCAACAAAGAGAAATATAAAATATTTTTGTGAGGGGGGCCTGGGGAAAATTGGTGGGATTGGAGGTGTTAAAACAAAGAAAAGGAAGAAGACAGGAACAGAGAAGTGGACAAAAGTCTTACTAGGAAAAAATCAGATATTTAGATATGGGAAAATACAAAGCAAGATAAGGGTTTTATTCCTAAATATGACAATAAAATGTAATTGCTAAGCCCAAAATATATGGAACATGGATAAATATTAAACTGCTATAGGGAGGTTGTAAAACAGAGGTTTGTGCTTCACTTTTTTACATGATAATCAAGAGCCGAAGTGGCGCAGTGGTTAAATGCAGCACTGCAGGCTACTTCAGCTGACTGCAGTTCTGCAATTCGGCTGTTCAAATCTCACCGGCTCAGGGTTGACTCAGCCTTCCAAGGTGGGTAAAAATCATGACCCGTCAAAACCGCGGTCCACAAAAGCGCGCTCGCCGAAAGCGCGCATTTGACATCATCACAGCGCGACGAAAAAAATTAAAAATTAAAATTAAAATAAAATTAAAGCAAGCCGATTCACATAAAGGTGAGGGTTAGGTTTAGGGTTAGGTTAAGGGTCAGGGTTA